CTTTATTGCCTAATTGCTCTGCTTAGGACTTCCAATACTGTGTTGAATAAAATTAGCAAGAGTGGGCATCCTTATCTTCCTCATCTTTGAGGAACCACTTTCAGCTTTTAACCCTTCAATATGATGTTACCCATGGGCTAATTATATGGCCTTTATCATGTTGAGTTATGTTCCCTCTATACCTACTTGTTGAGAGGTTTTTTTAATCATGAATGGATTTTGAATTTTGTGAAATGCTTTTTCTGCATGTATTGAGATGATCATATGGTTTTTATCCTTCATTTTGTTATGATTTATTGCAGATGTTGAACCATCCATTCATCCCTGGAATAACTTCCACATGGTATATGATCCTTTTAATGTGTTGTTGAATTCAGTTTGGTAATATTTTGTTGAGAATTTTTGTATCTATGTTCATCAAGGATATTAGCCTGTAATTTTTTTATCTTGGAGTGTCCTTGTCTGATTATACCAGGGTAATGCTGGCCTCATAAAAGGAGTTTGGGAGAGTTCCTTTTTTCTGTGTTTTGGACTAGGTTGAAAAGGTGTTTAGTGTTATTTCTTCTTTAGTATTTGGTAGAATTCACCAGGGAAGCTATCTGTTTCTATAATTTTGTTTTTTGGGAGGTTTTGATAACTGATTCAATCTCCTTACTAGTAATTGGTCTGTTCAGATTTTCTATTTCTTCATGATTCAGCCATGACAGGTTGTATATTCCTTGGAATTCATGTATTTCTTCTAGGTTGTCCAATTTTTTGGTGTATCATATTCATCATAATCTCACAATCCTTTGTCTTTCTGTGGTATCAGTTGTAATGTCTCCTCTTTGATGTCTAATTTTTTTCAGTTCTTTTTTTCTTGGTGAGTCTTGCTAAAGGTTTCTCTGTTTATATATTTTTTTAAATATCAGCTCTTAGTTTCATTGATCTTTTCTATTATCTTTTTAGCCTCTATTTCATTTATCTCTGCTCTGATCTTTGTTATTGCCCTCCTTGTACTAATTTTGGTCCTAGTTTGTTCTTTTTTCTCTGTTCCTTGAAGTGTAAAGTTAGGTTGTTTACTTGAGAACTTGCCTATTTCCTGATACAGGCACTTATTGCTATGAATTCCCCTCCAGGACTGCTTTTGCAGCATTCTGTAAGTTTTGGTATATTGTATTTCTATTTTTTATTTGTCTCAAGATATTTTTTCATTTCTCTTTTGAGTTCTTCTTTGACCCATTGGTTGTTCAGTAGCATGTTGTTTACTCTCCACATATTTGTGAATTTTCTTGTTTCCTTACTATAACTGATTCTAGTTTCATACCATTTTGCACAGAAAAGATGCTTGATATGATTTCAGTTTTCATAATTTTGTTAATAGTTATTTTGTGGCCTAACATATGATCTATTCTGGAGAATATTCCATGTATACCTGAGCAGAGTGTGTATTCTGCTGATTTTCGGTGGAGTGTTCTGTAAATGTCTGTTAAGTCCATCTGGTCTAACATGTCACTTAAGTCCATTGGTCCATTGTATTGCTGTCTTTTTCTCCCTTTACGTCTACTAATATTTGTTTTATATATTTAGGTGCATCTGTGTTGGATACATAAATATTTATAAATATTATATCATCTTGTTGGATTAACCCCTTTATCATTATATAATGCCCTTCTTTGTCTCTTGTTAGAGTCTTGTCTTAAAGTCTATTTTGTCTTGTATAACTTTCCCAGCTTTCTTTGGTTCCATTTACATGGAATATCTTTCCATCCCTTCACTTTTAGTCTATGTGTTATTACATCTGAAGTGAATCTCTTGTAGACAACATAGTTTGGCCTTAGATAAGTCCTTTCTTATCCATTCAGTCACTCTTTGTTTTTTGATTGGAAAATTTAGTTCATTTACATTTAAAGTTATTGTTGATAAGTATGGACTTACTGCCATTTTATTCATTGATTTCTAGCTATTTTGTAATTCTTCTATTTCTTTCTTCTTCTCTTGCTTCCTTTGTGATTTGATGATTTTTGGTAATGCTGTGCTTAGACTCCTTTTTCTTTATCTTTTCTGTGTCTGTTATGGGTTTTTGCTCTGTGATCACCATGAGGATTATATTTAAATGTAACAGTCTATTTTAAGCTGATAACAGCTTGTTTGAATGCATTTTAAAGCTTTACATTTTTACTCTTCCCACCACACATTTTAAAAGGTGTGACAATTTACATTTTTTTGTCTTGTGTATCCATTAACAAATTATGATAGTTATAGTTTTTTTTACTACTAAAATATAGTGTATTTTACTATAGTTACTTTACTCTTTTAATCTTCATGCTATATCTATAAGTGATTGACCCACCACCATGACAACATTAGATTATTCTGAATTTAACTATACATTTACTTTTGCCAGTGAGATTTATATTTTCATATTTTTTCCTGTTACCAATTAGCACCCTTTTGTTTCACCTTAAGGAACTCCCTTTAACATTTGTTGTAAGGCTGGTCTAGTGGTGATGAGCTCCTTCAACTTTTGCTTATCTGGAAAATTTTATTTCTCCTTAAATTCTGAAGGACAGCTTTTCCAGGTAGAGTATTCCTGGTTGGCAGGTTGTTTTTTTTTTCTTGCAGCACATTGAATATATTGTGCCACCCTCTTCTGGCCTGCCAAGTTTCTACCTAAAAATTTGCTGATAGTCTTATGGGGGTTCCCTTGTACATAACAAGTTGTTTTTCTCTTGCTCCTTTTAAGATTTTCTCCTTTAACTTTTGACAATTTAATTATAATGTCTCTTTGGATTCTTCTTTTTTGGAACTCTGGGATTCCTGGATTTATTTCCAGGTAGTCTGTTTCTTTTCCCAGGTTAGGGAAGTTTTCATCCATTATTTCTTCAAATAAGTTTTCTGCCCCTTTCTCTCTCTCTTCTTCTGACACCCCTATAAATGTGAATATTGATCTGCTTGATGTTGTCCCATAAGTCCTTTAAACTCTATTCACTCTTTCTTATTCTTTTTTCTTTTAGCTGGTCTGATTGAATGAATTCCAATACACTGCTTCTAGTTCCCTGATTCTTTCACGTCATCTAGTCTGCTGTTGAACCCCTTTATTGAATTTTTCAGCTCAGTTATTGTATCCTTCACCTCTGTGGTTTCTGTTTAGTACTTTCTTATATTTTCTTTTTGTTGAAATTCTCACTTTGTTCATGTATTGTTTCCCTGACCTCTGTGAGCATCTTTATGACATTATTTGAGCTCTTTATCAGGTAAAAATTATTTATCTTAATTTCATTAAGGTCTTTTCCTGGGGTTTTATCTAATTCTTTCACTTGGAATATATTCCTCTCTTTCTTCATTTTTTTGACTCTCTATGTTGGTTTCTATGCATTAGATACAATAGCCAGTCTTGAAGGAGTGGCCTCATGTAAGAGATGAACCTTATTATTCAACCCTTCCGTGGCTCTTGGTTGTCTCTCAAACCTTTGTCAATGTCCAGCCTACTTTGTTCTTAGTGGCTCCCAGTAGTTGTGGGTATACCAAGACCTGTCAGTGTCCCAAAGAGAAGGATCTCAGCACCTAGATGCAGGCTGATTGGAAGCTGGACACTCAGGCAGCAACTTTTAAAGTATGCCCGTATACCTCTTTCAGGGGAAGACTGAGAGATGGGCATTCTGTCTGCTCCCTCTGCACTGAGCCCTAGGGGGATAGCAAGTTAAGAACTATTTCTTTGTTTGCTACCATGCAGTTGAGCCCACGAACACAAGCCGTGCTGCTCACCAGAGCCAGATATCAAGGGATGTGTCCTCTGAGCAGCAGCCACAAAAGCTGGAGCACCAGCTGTTTGCACAACCTCCATTCATAGAAACACTGGTGACCCAGGGCAGGGCAAAGGGAGAGCGCAGAGATGGCACCCACTGGCCTCCCCAGTCTCTGGAGAGGATTGCAGTTGGCCCCTAGATGTTGTTAAATTATAAGCCTGACCCTCAGGCTGCAGTTAAGATCTATAAATAGGCCTCTTTCACTTACATACTGGGCATTTCAGTCTGCTGCCTCTGCCCTGTGCCCTGGTGGCATAGCTTAAGATCTGCTACTCTGTTTATTAGAGTCCTGTGGGACCCAGGAACATAAGCCTTGTTGGCCAGCAGAGCCAGGCAATCAAGAGGTATGTCCCCTGGGCAGTAACTGCAAAAGCTGGGGTGCCAGACGTGTGTATAAGCTCCTTTCCAGGAGATACCTGCTAGTGAGGCAGAAGGAGAGCATGAAGATGGTATGGTGCCCACTAGCCTCCCTGGTCTTTGGAGAGGATTACAGTTGGCATCTAGATGTGTACTAAATTAAAAGCCTGCCCCCTCAGGCCAAAGCTTTTAAGATAAGCAAATAGGCTTCTTTAATGAAAAGACTGGGCATTTTAGTCTGCTGCCTCTGTACTGGGCCCTGGGGGTATGTCCATGGTAAGTCCGTGAGAGCCCATTAAGAACTATCTCTTAGTTCACTACAGCCTTATGGGTCTCTTGGACCCAAACCCCACTGGCTTTCAGAGCTAGATGTTATGGAGGCCCATCTCTCAGGTGGAAGTCTTAAAAGTTGGGGTGCTAGATGTAGGGTCCAAGCCCTTTGCTCCTCAGGGAGAATCCAGGAGTTGTGAGTTCCCTCCTCATTGCGTGTCGCCCTGCTGGGAGTGGGTTTTATAGCAAGGTTGTGATCAGCCTCTCATACCCATTTCAGTGTGTCTTCTTGTTCACTCGATGCGTAGGAGTCGCTCAGCTAGTTTCTGGATTTCTTTCAGAGGGATTGTTGTTCAATTTGTAGCTGTAGATTCAGTGTGTCAGTGAAACGAGGTGAGTGGAGGAGGCTGCTTTGTTGCCGTCTCAAACCAGAACTCTCCAATAGAGTTTTATAGGTAATTATTCAGAGTTTGTCTATTTTGGGGATCTGAAACACAGTAAATAGCATCCCCAGATGCTTTGAGGTATAGCCCTACGCCCTCCTTCCCAGCCCTGACCTAACAGTCTGCTTCTTTGTGGTTCTAGAAAAATAACTGTGTGCTGCCTGAGGATCTGAAAAACTTTTACCTGATGACCAATGGCTTCCACATGACATGGAATGTGAAGCTGGATGGTGAGTCAGCCTCCTTGCTGTAGAGGAACATTTCCCTGGCTGAGAGGTTAGATGAGACAACTCTGAGGGCCTTTACAACTTATGAGTCTGAATCTGGACAGTTTTTGTGGGTTCTTCTAAAGTGCAGTGTCCAGAAGCTGTGATTATCTCCCAAAGCTAACACATGCCATCATTGCATCACCCACTGCCTCCCCAGCCCCCGTGCCAGGGTCTACCCAGTACTTAACTGGAAGCTCAATTTAGAGGCTTCTTGTTGGCATGAGGTGGAGGGAAAGATTAGTCACTACACAAAAATCCTGAGCCACCTCGAACTTAAATCCTCTGAGGATTCCACCTTGGAGCAGTCTCCTCAGGATGAGCTGCAGTGACAGCCTCTGGTGGTCATAAGAGTGGGGGGCTCCTTCCTTCATTCCCAGCATGGTGGAGACCTCAGGGCTCCGAGGTCTGGACCTCTGACCCTCAGACCAGAGCCTTTCCTTCTCTGCCTCACATCTCCTCAGCCTGAGTCATCAACCGCCTTAGTTCACAGGCTATCATCCTTGGTATTAAATACATCCAGGATAAACATTTCTATCGTGAATGTGGGAAATCACACCTTGGTACATGTCAGACATTCAGGTACTATGCAGGCATGAAAGTCAGTGCTGCACATTTAGGTGAAGACTCTAGTAACATTCCATAGACTAGGAAATCCAGATCTAGCCCCTGGAGTCCAGCTCATTCCTGACAGAGACTGCCCTGTCCTCAAGAGGACTTTATTATCTCCAAACTGCAACCACATCCCCAGATCTACTTTGGTCCTTGGGAATCAGCCTATACCTCTCCTTGCTGCCACTAAGAGTGCAGTCACTTCTGTGACACAGCAAATCTGCAGAACTGACTCCTCCCCTTCATTGCTGCTACCTCCTAGGTTCCCTTGTTTTGGTGACCCCAAACCTTCCTGTTTTTCTCGCAGCTGACCAGGGGCATATTTCATAGCTTACTACTAAGCATTTAACATGAACTTTTAGCTTAGAATAATTTCCTCCGATGGTCTAGAAACCATTGTTGTCACCAATATCAGAAACCCTCATGGCCATGGCCTTTGGAGTCTGGAGCAACAGAGAGAGTGGACAGAGGCTAGAGTGACTGTCACGTTTTCCCTTGCCCACATCATGGAGACAGGCTAGCCCCTTCAGAAGCCTGCATCAGAAAAGAAACATTTCATGAAGGTTTTATGAATGAGTCCCTATTCATTATTAATACTTTTTTTAATGTAATCCTCCCAACCCATCTTCTTATCCTTATCCCCATTGCTGTACCCATTCTTTACTGGATGGCTAAAATCATTATCAGAAAAGCCAGCAAAGGCAGCTTCCAATGTTTACCTCCTTAGTGGTCTTTTCTTGGACATTCCATGGTCTGTACACCAGCTGTTTTATTGCCTTAAGTTATTCCAGTTTTTTAGCAGTCATATGTCCAAGTCTTTATGTGCCATCCCATGTCCAGCACCCTATATTATAAGGATTCTGTATGATAGATAAGGAAAATACATAGTCTGCCTATTTCTTGTTTATACCTGAATTACAGAAGACTGAACCAAGCAAGAAGCCTTTCAAGACAGTTTGCTCCATTGAGTAAGAAAAAATGATAAGTAGAGGGGGAGATAGTTTCCATAGTGAAAGCTTATGACAAGAAGGGTAGAAGCAGTCAGTTATATAATCAAAGCTGTTACTCCTTTGGAAAGTATAACCCTTCATTCAAGGGATGGCGGGAGCAAAAACATTTTTTAAGTCCTTTGCTCTTCAAACTAGGGCCCCTACCCTAGAATTCCCAGTTCTTTTTGAGAATCTCCTTTTAAAATTTCCTTTGGTGCTCCACCCTAACACATGCAGTGGGGACTCTTCACTCATGGCCCCAGCTGTTTGCTTTTTTTTTTTTTTTGCATAAAAGGCTGGTGCTTTGGAGCATGTAGTGCATTGATTCTCTCCTTTCCACTTTCCATTCAATTCCTCAACCCTGGAATCAAATAATAGCTGGGCTTAAGTTAGTCAAGCAGAAGCCCTTCTGATGACCATGGTAACTAGCTTATTACTCCATGTAATTCTTTTTGTTAACATTCCCATAGAACATACCATTCCATTGGGCAGCATGGCAATTAACAGCATCTCAAAACTGACTCAACTCAACCAGTCTTCCCTGTACTCACTTCCTAACGCACCAACTCTTGCAGACCTGGAGGACGATACACAAGAAGGTAACTGGAGGGACTTCTGCTTTGAGTTAGAGATCAGCCTGCTTGTTTCCATTTTATAATGTTGAAAATAATAGGAAGAAATTGTGGCATTGTTACATGTTCCCCTAAACCCAACCCTTCCCATTTATGGCTTCTCTGAACCATGGGAGTAAGGTTAAAAAAAAAAAACAAAAAAAAAACAGCCTGTATCAAAAAAGGAAGTTTTCATGAAGAAAATGCCAGGGTTGGGATCTTTGTTTCCAGCACCCACTTCAGTCCCTGGCACATAGTAGGCAGTTAATGAATACCTGGTAAGTGAATGAATGTTACAGATTAAACTTCACTCCACATTTCAGTATTGAGAGGTTTCAGGGACAGTGACAGTCTAAATGCAGCTCCCTTCCTCCCTTCAGGCTCTTTGCCACTTCTGATTGAAATGGCTTATAATTCAAATGGCTGCTAAAGCTATGATCAACTATGTATAAGTGAGGACTTCAGTCAGAACTGTGTTTGGCTGCGTATAACAGACCCCCATTACAATGTTTAAATAGTTTATTTTTCTCATAATAAGAAATCTGGAACTAGGCTGGTGTAGCTGCTTGAGAAACTCAATGATAAAGTCTCCCTCTGGATTCCTGGCGCACCAGCCTTTGTGTTTGTTTGGTTTTCATCCTCATGTTTGAAGAATGTGGGCTCTACCTCCAAGCTTCAAGTCTATGTTCCAGGCAGGAAAAAGAAGAGTAAAGGGCAAAATAACTGTCTCTTGGCAGAATAGTTTCCTTTTTGTCAGAAAAATAATAGTTTTTCCAGAAGCCTCTCCCAATAACCATTCGCCAGAATAGAGTCAAAAAGGTTACCCATAGTGCAAGTGAATTTGAGGAGATAAGTATTTTTAGCTGTGTAGTATTGCCTCATCAAACAGAACTGGAGTTTTAAAAAGGGAGAATGAATATTCAGTAGGCAACTAGTGTCTCCAATACTAATGCCTTGGAGTGCATTGAAATTCTGACAGAGAGAACTGATGCAAGGCTTTCTCCTTCAACTGGACAAGCAGCTGCACAATAGGAGGAGGAGTCCAAGAGCTGAGCCTGGAAAGTGTTGGGCCCTGGGAAGAGTTTATCACTTAGAAATGTGTGGAATCCTCAAGGATGGGGAAAAGGTCACATTTGCTTCATATGTGTATACTGGAGCTCTCTAACCCCTAAAAGGCAAAGGAGTTGTTAAATAAGTAGAATGGGTGTACCCTGCTTTTGAAGCTAGTAGATAAAGGTAGACTAGATGATAGGATTTCAAGGGACCTCAGCAAAGGACAGGTAGGGGTAGAGACCACACTGTCCTACATACTGATGGGGATAAAAACCACGTGGGCTTCTGGCACCTTCTGAGTTCATGCTTTTTAGGATAGTCCAACAATTAGACCTAAGTTTCATTAACTTAAGTAGAAAAATGCTGACTTTTCTCAGGGGACTCAGCAGTTAGAAAGAGGACAATCAGGAAGCAATATCAGAATACACAACCAGAGAAATAACACTGCTAGAGGACACAGATGAAAACCTAAATAAAAACAAGAACACTTAAGGGCATTTAAGACAGCACAAAGACTTCTTATAGAAAAAAAGTAAAAATTCTTGATTAAACAACTGACTAGATGAATTGAAGACAAGTATAAATATTGAGACCTGAGTTAGTAGCCTGAAAAAGCAAGTGCAAGAAATATCTAAAAGGACAGATAAATAAATTTTAAAAGGAGAAATGAGTGAAAAGGTGGAGGGTGAGAGAAATAGAAAATACATCCAGGTGACCTTCCATTGGAATTATAGATGCTCAAAAAGAGAAAAAAAGCTGGAAAGGGAATAATAAATAAACAGTAATAAACAAAAACTTTTATTCAATCTGCAGATAGAAAGGGCTCTCCTAGACTCAAATTGAATTCAGGAGAAAACAGACACCTAGGCATTACATGATGCAGAAAAAAATCACAAGCTTCTAGGCAAAAAAATTACTTGTGAAGAGAGAGTAATCAGACTGACATCAGACTTCTCACCTGCAACAGTGGAAACTAGAAGGCAGTAAAAAAACATAAACGGGTTACTGAGAGAAAAAGTGAAAATCAAGAGTCCTATATATACAGATGAAACATACCTCTCAGGTTATTAGAAGAATATTAAAGGATGTGTAAAACTTTAAGAACATAAATACTCCAACCAAAAGACAGATGAAACGGAATGGAGATCTCAAGATGCAGATATATAAAGAGGAAAGGAAACAAGAGATTAGTGAACCTCCTATGAAAGAGAAAGACTTAATTAAATCTTAATATCCAGGAATGTATACAACTTTTACATAAGAACTCTTGGAAAAAAGGGGACATATTTCCCCCTGGAAATATTCATATATTGAAGTCCTAACCTCACTCCCTCAGACTGTGACCTTATTTGGAAATAGGGACATTATAGAAGTAAGTAGGTAAGGTGAGGTCATACTGGAGTTGGGTGGAGCCCTAATCCAATATGACTGACAACCTTTTAAAAGGGGAAATTTGGAGATACAGATATAAAAGAAAGCCATGTGAAGATGAAGACAGAGATGGGGTGGTACTTCTACATACCAAGGAAAGCTAAAAGTTGCAAGCAAACCACCAGGAGCTAGGGGAGAGGCATAGAACAGATTCTTCTCCACAGCCCTCAAAAGGAACCAACCTTGACCTTGGATCTGTGGCCTCCAGAAGCGTGAGATAACAAATTTCTGCTATTCAAGCCATTCAGTTTGTGGTACTTTGCTACAGTAGCCCTAGCAACTGATACAAGGAATGTTCCAGAGAGTCCTTTTAAAAGAAAATGTAGGACAAAGAGGAAAGGAAGTAGAAAGTGGAAGCCGTCATCCTACTCTAGGAAAGAAATAGTATGCCTTGTTGGGGGAAACAGAGTGTCTTGGTTTTCTATTCATGTATAACAGATTACCAAAAATTTAATGGCTTGAAACACTACAAATTTATTATCTAACAGTTTTCATGAGTCAAAAATTCAGCTACAGATTAGTAGAGTCTTCTGCTTAGGATCTTATCAGGCTAGAAACAAGGTGTCAGCTGGTGCTGTGATCTCATCTAAGGCATAGGGGCCTCTTCCAAGCTCACTGGTGGTTGACCTTATTCAGTTTCTTGCAGTTGTGGGACTAAGTCCTTGTTTTCTTGTTGCCTGTTGGCCAGGGCTCACTCTTGGCTCGTTTAGGCTGCCCTCAGATTCTAGCCACAAGACCCTCTCACAATATGGCCACTTGCTTCTCAGCCAGCAGGAATATTTCTCTCCAGTCTGCTACAACAGAGTCTCATAATGTTACCTAATCAAGGGAATGACTACTCCATCATATTATAGGTCCTGACCACACTCAGGGGAGGAAGTTGTACAGGTGTGTATACACACAAGCATGAATCTTGGAGGCCATCTTAGAATTCTGCATACCACATTTGGTTAGAGAAACAGTGGCATATTGTTTTCAAGTAAGGGTAGAATCATATGGATCCAGTCATGCAAATACATAAAAAAAGGAAGATAGGGCTTCCCTGGTGGCGCAGTGGTTGAGGGTCCGCCTGCCAATGCAGGGACGCGGGTTCATGCCCTGGTCCGGGAGGATCCCACATGCCGCGGAGCGGCTGGGCCCGTGAGCCATGGCCGCTGAGCCTGTGTGTATGGAGCCTGTGCTCCGCAACGGCAGAGGCCACAGCAGTGAGAGGCCCGCGTACAGCAAAAAAAAAAAAAAAAGGAAGATAACCATTAAAGGAATAAAAAATTACTTTAGAATCTCTAACCTAATAAAGGAATGTTGAATCACATGAGTAAAAATAAGAAAAAGGGAAAAGAAACAACATTATAAAATAAGCAACAAAACATTAAGAGGAATAAAATAAAACAGATAAATCATTATGTTAAGTGTGCTGGGATTGAATTTCCCTTTTGAAAAGCAGAAACTATCAGATTGATATAAAAAGCAAAGCTCATCTATATGTTATTTTCAGAAGCATACTTAAACTGATGAAGAGGCCTCCTGGTAATGGCAGATAGGTAATTCAGAGCAGTCTTCCTGCTGAAGACAACTGAAAAGTCAGGGAACATATAAAAATCATCAAATAAGAGCTAATAAGATGATGAGATAGCACCAGATCAACATCCAGAAGAAGACAGAAATCCAGGGAAGAGGCTCAATGTTTAGGGTTGCTTTTGCCTAGGATACGTTGTCATTTTCAAAAGAGGCAATGAGGCTACTCAAAAGCTGAGAATTTGACCCATATGTGAGACTAGAAGAATAAAATGGAGTCTAGAACCTACAAAAGATGGCACCCATAAAAACTACCCTACCCTTTTGGTTAGCACCATGAGGAGCTATATACTCTAGGAGATAGAATGAACCAGAAATAACCACTGTTCACATGGACCGAAGCCCAAGTATAAGTCACCTGTGCATCCCAGAAAATGTTAAATCCCAAAATTGGACTAATTTGATTCCAGATTACTAATCTCCCCAGGGGCCTGGCAGAAAAAAACAGAAATTCACTCCAGAGAAATGTACTAAAATTGACTGTTTATGGTTGCACAGCTCTAAATATACTAAAAACCATTAAATTGTACACTTTAAGTGAATGGTATGGTAGGTGAATTATTTCTCAGTATAAACCTCATATAAAATAAAATTCTTCCCTAGAGGAAGAAAACATTATCCTAGACCTCATTGTTTTTATAAATAATTTTTCAAAAATAATCCTACTTAAAAAGAACCAGGCACATGAAGAAACACAACACCATGAACAAGAACCAGCACAAATAACAGGTAACAGAAAGATATCCACTGTTATTCCTGAGGGTGAAATTATTAGGCACAGACTGTAGGACAGTGTGCTAATGTGCACATGGAGATAAAACCAAACTAAAAATTCAGTGAAGAACTAATAACAGTGACATTGTAGATTTGACCTTATGATTCTGGCCATATGGCATACTACCTTTTACCAGATCAGGACTTGTGCAGAT